TTTATACATACATATATATATATATATATATATATGTATATAAAATACTATTTCAATTAACCAATTCTGTTAAGAAACAAACTTTTTTCTTTTTAAGTTAACACGTATCAAAATACCTATACTAAGCGCGATTTGTCGAATAACGTAGACGAAAAACGACAAAAACGAAAGGAACAACAACAGCTGCAAGCACAGCAGCAACAGCAGCAACAACAACCAACGCAGCCACCGGGTACATCTGGCCCTGGATTAAGGCCATGTGCGCCTCCAAATGTAGGTACCGTTATGCCAGGGGCATCGAAACCTGTCGGGACAGTACCACCTACTTTACGAAGTCATTCACCGAGTATGGGTCAACTGGCAACGATACCAGCAATGGCCATCCAGCAGCATAATAGGATGCAGTTCCCACAGCAGCAGCAGGCGCAACAACAACAGCAGGCCCAACAGCAACAACAAGTGCAAGCTCAGCAGCAAATACAGCAGCAGCAGCAACAACAGCAACAGCAACAACAAGGCATCCTGGTTGGCCCTCCTGGTCCTAGCCCAAATGGACAATCTACATCTAACGCCAATATGGTGCCTAATCCTGGACTGAGTCCATTTGGACAACCTCAAATGTCTCAGGCTAATCTCACAACCACTACTGCATCTAACAATGCGACGACTAGTCAATTTCCAACGTCCAATGGTACGAGTGCCGGTTTACCTAACAGTTCTCCTATTCAGAACCAGCATCAATTTCCCGATCTCATGAAAGTTAGACTGGCGCAAGCCCAGGCTCAAGCTGCGCAACAACAGCAACAACAACAGCAACAGCAGCAGCAGCAGCAAAGTCAGCAACAACCACAACCGACGAGTACTCCTAGCCAAGTTGGTACTCCAGCAACGTCGATTCCGCAAGCACCATCACCGTTTAGTGGCATGCAACAAAGTGCACAGCAGCCGCAGCAACAGCCGCAGCAACAATCGAATCAACAATTTCCAACTCGACCGTTGTCAGCTACCACGCCTAATGACAATGGCATTGCAACATCGACACCACAGACGATACCACCGCCTGCGTCAAGTGGACCAAGTCCAACGGGTGGCGTACCCGTGACGACTACGGGTACAACTAACGGACCTCAGTCAACCACCTCCACACCAAATACACCACTTGTACCGTCATTAATGACACCAAATCAAACGGTCTCTTCTGCATCGAATCAGACGCCGCCTCATTCCGGCCCAACACCGTCTCCAGCTGGCCTTGCGAGTCTTGGCAAAGGTATGACCTCGCAAGAACGTGCAGCACTGAACACTCCACGCAGCACATCCATGTCTTCGCAAATGGCTGCCATTACAGCAGCGCTGGATCGTGACAATTCACCCAGTCCGCCGATGAATAATAACAAAGGTAAACTGGATTCCATCAAGGAGGAGATAAAGATGGAGATTAAACAAGAACCACCAGACGAGTCGCAAAATCACAGAATGGACGGTAAAAGTGTGAACAATGATATTATCATCAAGACCGAGCCGAAAACCGAACCAATGGAGGAGGGCTCGAATGAGGCGACCGTGAAAGAAGAACCTGGTATTAAAGAGGAAAGTATGACTCCCGTGTCCAGTCAAGACACGACCACCTCTGACATCAAACCCTTAGTGCCGGAACCGATTCAACCGAGTGGCACGTCCACTGACAAGAAGAAGTGCTTGTTTAAGCCTGATGAATTGCGTCAGGCATTGATGCCGACATTGGAGAAACTATATCGACAAGATCCTGAGAGTATTCCGTTCCGACAACCGGTAGATCCTCAAGCATTGGGTATACCGGATTACCCGACTATCGTGAAGAAACCAATGGATCTATCGACGATCAAGAAAAAACTCGACACGGAGAAGTACAGCGATCCGTGGGAGTACGTCGACGACGTGTGGATGATGTTTGATAATGCTTGGTTGTATAATCGCAAGACTTCTCGAGTTTATAGATATTGCACCAAGGTAACGTTTATTCGACGACATTATTGCTAATATGATTTATACATTCGAGTGTAATTTACTTTTCTCCTTTTTTTCAAACGTAGCTCTCGGAAGTGTTCGAGCAGGAGATAGATCCCGTGATGCAAGCATTAGGTTATTGTTGCGGTAGAAAATACACATTCAACCCGCAGGTGCTCTGTTGTTACGGCAAGCAGCTTTGTACGATTCCTAGGGACGCAAAGTATTATTCTTATCAAAACAGGTCAGTGCACAGTTACATTCAAGTATATATTGAATTATAATGCGTAGAATTGTTGACGTGAGAGATAATACGTTATTTGAAGATACTAATGCTTAAAATGTTAATATTGTATTAAATGTTAATGCTGAATCTATCAAATATTAATATTTTCATATAGATGTATTCTAACTTTATAGATCGAAGTTTAGTTAATCTATTATATTACTTTTATTAATCCAAATCGATTAAGCATGTAAGAAATGGCATTTTAAGTATTATGTTACATTAGCAGTTTGAACAATTCTGTAATTAGAGCGTGCACAATGGGGACACGTTTGCAGTATTTTGTAACATCTAGTAGTGACTCTTGCGTTTTAAGTAATGTTCTATATGGCTCTAACCATGCTTGTAGGGCATTTGAAGAACGGTGATCCCCGCGTATTCATCTTCTGTAGATCCTTTTAATATAAAAGTATCCTATCGCTGAATACGCTAAATTAAATTGACAGGTTAATTAACTTGCTTTTGACAATAAATGCAAAAGCAGGTCAGTCCCCTGAACTACACTTTTTCGAAGCTATGTGTACGAATTTTCTTTTGTATTAAACTCACGCACTTAAAGTTTGTGTAATATAGTTGTGCATATACTTAAGGGATATGTATCGTTTTATACGAGTAAAATATAGCGTTAAAGTTCTAAACTTGAAGAAAGTTACAGCATAAGGAACAGGTTTATTGATCGCTGGATAATAAATAGCTTTACATAACCTTTTAGTATATGCGATTAGGATTTAGAAAATGACGTATAAATTGATATTTTTTTAACATTGGCACTGTTCTCTTCTTTGTATGTCTTCGCCCATGGGTTGCGCACGCATACACAAATCCTTGTTTGCCGCTTACTTCTTGTGTTGCCTGCGACCTTGCTTCTTTTCGACTCTACTGCGAAATACTTGATACTTGGAAAAAACTGTAATCGAAAAAAAAAAACCCAAACGATGCCTTTCCACGGTCTTTCGAAACTGAAATCGGATCCGAAACAATTGGCCATTGCATGCATGTGTAATTACGAAAAAATTGACTGTACATATAAAAAAAAATACTTGCCGAAATTGAACGGAAACTCAATATGCCGAAACTTGGACACACATTTGGAATAAATTGGTCGTCGTACATCGAATTTACATAATAAAAACGCACACACGGCGCCGATATAATAGTGGTCTAAAGGGAATTGGTCTTCTTTCCGACAGATACACCTTCTGTCAGAAATGTTTCAACGACATTCCTGGTGACACAGTGACGTTGGGAGACGATCCAACACAGCCTCAAACGTAAGTGATATCAATAGATTAATGCGTGTAACCTTTGTTAACATTATTCCGATCCGTACGGTCTATGTGACATCTTTGTTCCTCATAGTGCCATCAAGAAGGAACAGTTCCAGGAAATGAAGAATGATCACTTAGAATTAGAGCCTTTTGTAACCTGTACGGACTGTGGTAGGAGAGTACATCAAATTTGTGTGCTCCACATGGAAGCAATCTGGCCATTAGGGTAAATAATTCAATTTTATTCTATCAAACTATAACCGCGAAAAGATTTAACGGATTAAATTTTCTCTCTATTAAATAAAATATGTTCGTGTTGTTTATTACCTGGTTTTCAAGTTTGAAAAGCAGGCAATAAAAAAAGCTATAGAATATCTCGTGTACTTAGAAATTACTTTTTCTTTGACAGATTTACCTGTGATAATTGTTTAAAGAAGAAGGGACAGAAACGCAAAGAGAATAAGTTCAACGCCAAACGATTGCCCGTAACGAAACTCGGCACGTATATCGAAACGCGCGTGAATAATTTCCTGAAGAAGAAGGAAGCGGGTGCTGGTGAGGTCGCGATCAGAGTGGTCGCATCCAGCGACAAGGTGGTCGAGGTCAAGCCCGGGATGCGAAGTAGATTCGTTGAGAATGGCGACATGCCCGGCGAATTCCCATACCGCGCGAAGGCATTGTTCGCGTTTGAAGAGGTCGATGGCACCGACGTCTGTTTTTTCGGTATGCATGTGCAGGAGTACGGAAGCGAATGTACGCCGCCTAACACTAGACGAGTTTACATCGCATATCTGGATTCTGTTCACTTCTTCCGGCCTAGACAATTTCGAACGGCTGTATATCACGAGATTCTTCTTGGATATCTCGACTACGCGAAACAGCTTGGGTAAGTTTATTCAAGCAAAAAGATCAATTATAATGGATATATAATGTAGCACATGATACACACAAATATAATTAATATTATATCTAAGATATGAATATCATACACATTAAAAATATATGTAAAGAGGAAAAATGTGATATATTACAGATACACTATGGCTCACATTTGGGCTTGTCCACCTTCCGAAGGGGACGATTATATCTTCCACTGCCATCCCGCAGAACAAAAAATACCAAAGCCTAAGAGATTGCAGGAGTGGTACAAGAAAATGTTGGACAAAGGAATGGTTGAAAGAATCGTGCTCGACTACAAGGTTAATAGATAAATGCATTTTATGGATTTTTAAATCTAGTCTCATGTGTTTCCGTTACGTGTCGCGATATCGTATCGGTGTCAAACGAGACTTAAAGAAACGTCTGTAGTAAAGCTAATGTTCTTGTTACATTTACATAGCAATGAGCATAGGATTAGCAGACGACATTTTTTTTTGCTTTTTGACTATTTGCGCATGTATTTCTGTATTTTGAGACAGAAATATAAATGAAACATTTATATGCAGGACATCTTAAAACAAGCTATGGAAGACAGGCTTTCGTCCGCGGCGGACCTACCATATTTTGAGGGCGACTTTTGGCCGAATGTGTTGGAAGAAAGTATTAAAGAACTAGATCAGGAAGAGGAAGAGAAACGTAAACAAGCTGAAGCGGCGGAAGCAGCCGCTGCTGCGGCAAACGCGGTAAGTTGTAAAAAATAAATGTCTCTTCTTTTGCATGCAATAATCGCCTTTCTTGTCTCATATATTTATACCTCTCGGTCTCGTATCTTTTTAGATATTTTCGCTATCTGAAGACGCAGAAACTCCAGACGGTAAGAAAAAGGGCCAGAAAAAGGCGAAGAAATCCAACAAATCTAAAGCAAATCAAAGAAAAAATAGCAAGAAATCGAATACTCCTCAAACCGGCAATGATCTTTCCGCGAAAATCTTTGCTACCATGGAAAAGCACAAAGAGGTGTTCTTCGTCATTAGGTTGCACAGCGCTCAAAGTGCAGCCAGTTTGGCAGTAAGTTTTTTTTTGTGTTTTACAGATTTCTGTTCCTCTGAAAGCTTGGTGCATGCGATTATTAATTTTTATTTAAATCCTTTTAGCCTATTCAAGATCCCGATCCTGTTATCAATTGTGATTTGATGGATGGTCGTGACGCGTTTCTCACAATGGCAAGAGAAAGGCATTACGAATTTTCATCGCTTAGAAGAGCAAAATTCAGTTCCATGTCTATGCTGTACGAATTGCATAATCAAGGCCAAGACAAGTTTGTTTACACGTGTAACAACTGTAAAAGTCACGTGGAGACTAGATACCATTGTACAGTTTGTGATGTACGTATTAGATTACTTAAAAAAAAGGTTTCTGTTTCTTTTTATAACTTTTACGTTTATTAATTCTAATTTTATTATAGGATTTCGATTTATGTGTGAGTTGTAAAGAAAAAGACGGTCACCCGCATCCAATGGAGAAACTTGGTTTTGATTTGGATGATGGCTCTTCGCCTGCCGATGCCAAACAAACTAATCCACAGGTAACTTATTTTCTAAAAATATTTGTGTTGTGATTACAGTAAAACTTATAGTATGCTCATATACATCTTTTTTTATTTTTGCAATGTAGGAGGCCAGGAAATTATCGATACAGAGATGCATTCAGTCATTGGTGCATGCTTGCCAATGCAGAGATGCCAATTGTCGTCTACCGAGTTGTCAGAAGATGAAGCGAGTAGTCATGCATACGAAGAACTGCAAGAGGAAGACAAATGGCGGTTGTCCTATATGTAAACAGTTAATTGCGTTGTGTTGTTATCATGCAAAACACTGCCAAGAGACCAAGTGTCTTGTTCCATTCTGCTCCAACATAAAGCACAAGATAAAACAGCAACAATTACAACAACGATTACAGCAAGCGCAGTTGCTTAGGTCAGTAGAGTTGTCTCTTTATGTATCTGGAGACACGGTAGTGTCTCGGTATATTATTACACTATAATGCAAAAATGTTGTCTTTTTTTAAATATTACTTTAACTATTTTTATTAAATAACGAATTATAAAGTGCGTGCGTGTGTGTGCTATCTAATTTAAAATCAGTGAATATATTTTAATTCTTTTGGATATTTTTGCATGTTGTCTCTATTTTTAATTTATTAGTAAGCTTTATATCTTGACTCTTAATATTACTTGCTCTCTGAATAATAGTGTTATAAATTATTTTACTTTCAATTTACTTTTAAACGTAAATAAAAGCTTACTGCCTATTTATTTAGATATATGAAACTTTTATACATCGAAAACATTCGTCAATATTCACGTTTATTCACATGTAGGAGGCGAATGGCTGTGATGAATACGAGACCAACCGGACCTGTAGCCGCAATGCAGGCCGGACAACAGACCTCAAACGTTGGCATGACGACTGGAGTCGCTATGAAACCTGGTGTTAGCACATCGAATTTGCCGACACCACATCAACCAGGTATCGGATTAAAGCCCGGAACGCAGACTCCTCCTGCTCATGTTCTACAAGTGGTGAAGCAGGTGCAGGAAGAGGCAGCGAGACAACAAGCACCACATATCAATTATGGCAAAGTGACACCGGGCGGTGGTGTTGGTGTGGGTGTCGGTGTAGGAGGTCAAACTGGCGGGGTGATGCCGCCTCCTCAGATGCAACGGCCGTTGCCGGTTCAGATGCCGAATCCTAGCGGCACGCATCTCATCCCGATGGATCAATGGACAGCGAGGTATCTATTATAAATTCATATATTTTACACTTACTTAATTCTTACTTCAATTCTTACTTTAATTTTTACCATTACCTTTAACGAATGCATTTTAATCGAAAAATCGAAATAGAACATGATTTCTGAGAATTTGTGAATCAGCATGTTCTTTTATTTTTTAGCAGATACCAGCCGAATACAGTGATGCAACAAAATCCCAACTTGGCGCGACAGCAGACACCACAACAGTTGATGCAACAACAGCAGCAGCAGCAACAGCATCAGGCTCAACCGGGAATGGGGATGGGTGCGCAAATGGCACGGCAACCGGGCGTGATCGGACCTGTCGGACAGGTCGGACCGCAGGCAAGTACTATGCACAAGCACGCTCTGCAACAGTTGATGCAAACTCTAAGAAGCCCGCACACGCCCGACCAGCAGAATCAGATACTCCAAATACTCAAGAGCAATCCACCGTTAATGGCCGCCTTCATCAAGCAACGAGTGAGTTAATTAACATTTGAAAAAATATCATACATCTATTGTTACGCGCAGATTTGACTACTGATCTTCTTAATAAAAAGGCGCTTGTCCATCAGCAACAACCTGGTCAGCATGGTGGGGGAGTCGGTGGCCCATTGGGCCCTAATCAACCCCAACAACAACCTGGTTTGCAGCATATGATGTCTCAACAACAGCAGCCGCAGCAGCAGCAACCGCAGCAGCAGGCGCAGCAACAACAACAACAGGGTAGACTGCAGATACAGATGTTGACTCAGCAGGCGCAACAACAACAGCCGGTGCAAGCACAGTCGCAATGGTACAAACAACAGATGCTGGTGATGCAGCAGAGGCAACAGCAGGTGGCTCAACAGCAGCAGCAGCAACAGCAGCAGCAGCAGCAGCAGCAGCAGCAGCAGCAGCAGCCGTTCACTCAACCTCCGGCGCCACCATACGGTCAACAGCGACCTATACGGCCGCTTCTTGGTAATTACATGACCCATCGTAATTACTTAGGAAACAGTGGGGCTGTAGTACGTAGCGTGTTTTCTCGACACCAAAACTTGCCCAACTCCCTAGGTTACGGCGGTTTCAACGAACAGGGCTACGGTCAGCCAGGTCTGAAACCTACTCCGCCGCCCGTGCCCTCGCCGCAAGGCGTCATGGGTCCGCCGGGGATCTCCGTGCAACAACAGTTGATGCAGTCAGTCCGTTCGCCACCGCCCATCCGATCTCCGCAGCCCAACCCCTCGCCGCGACCTGTCCCTTCCCCTCGTAATCAACCGGTACCGTCACCGCGATCGGGTCCGGTGCCATCACCGCATCATCATCCGCCTCATGGCACGCCGACACATTCGCCGGCCCACGAGCTCGGCGGCGGTCCTAGCGAGATGATGCTGTCGCAGCTGGGTGGCGGTCCAGGTGCACCCACCGGCCATCCCGCCACTATGCCTCATCATCCCTCGCCGGCGCCGGCGCCCACGAATGGCGGTGCAGACGCCAACGAGGTAACGCCGATGACGCCACAGGACCAACTCTCCAAGTTCGTCGAGGGGTTGTAGTGACTGTTACGGACGATCACATCGGTCGATGGTTATGTAAGTGTTTCCCTTAACGGAGACGACAACGGCGGCGCTCGGATGGCTGCGACCGTCCGCGTCGCGTGAATTTATAAATAATACGAAATGTTCACGGAATTATGAAAGCATTAGATAATTTATCTTGAAACTCGCGCGCGCGTCGATAGAGACTGAAAGAGAAAGCCTGACGCGCATTTCATCAGATTTTGTCGAGTGATTGAGCCTGACACGCCTAGGGATTTGAAACTCCTCTAGGGCCGCAGGATAGTTTCCGATTTCGCGATCCTCGCTGTTGCGAACAAACGTTCGGTTCGCGCGCGCGCGTGTATATATATATATATATCTTCTCTTTCAATTTTCTACATTATGCGATGCGTCGAAAGATAAGAGGGAAAGGTAACGCGATGTTGGTGCTTTTTAATTCTTCTCGGCCTGGCTCAAATAGACTCAAAATTGTTTTCGTCCTTGGTCGAGAAAGAAAGAGAGATGAAAATCGGTAGAACGAGGAGGAACGCGAAAGACTAAAGCGAAACTGTCAAAAGACCATCATTTTCGTATCCTCCACTCGTATCCTCCAGAGCCCCCTCAACTCTACCACTCTTCCTCGCTGCTACTCGTGCAGGGTGAGTGAAATCGTACAAATATATATATATATCTCTCTCTATATATATATATATATACATATATGTATGTTGTGTATACTTAACGTTAATTAATAATTAATAGTTCAAATACTATTAGTTCATGATTAGTATCGTAAATGTACGCAATTATATATTACTATATTAATATTACTATAACGGAAAAATTACAGAGTATATGATAAAGAAAACTTGTATGAAAGATAAATGATAATATAGATAGGGAGAATCCAGTAGACCATTGTATGTAAAGGGAGAGAAAGATAATTTAGAGGTCATACATACGTTAAGTAATATATTTGTTTAATAAGGAGAAAATTTGTTATTAAGAGGATAATCCCTAAGCGTCACACCGAAGGTTGTATCTTGACCATGAAATTTTATGGATTTATCGTTATGACTCCGTATTTTCCGAATGTTGCGAGTCATTTGTGGAACTTGAAAGAAGCGGCGATATTTTTGGTAAGATGTTTAATCGCATCGTATCAAGAATATTACCCATGTGACAAGTTAACGTTGTCGTAACCAAAAGAAAATAAATAAATAAAAGAAATAGAAATTCACAACAGGCTGCTAGTGCGCGCGAGGGAGGGTTTATATAAAACAATGTTAATTTTGATGACGGATATGAAGAGGGTAGTTTTCTGCGGTTGAGGGTCCACTGCGAGTGTACAGTTCAATCAAAATGTAACTAACAAGAATGCGTATTTGATACCGGGCCCTCATGTGAAAACTTTGTAAATACTAGGTTATTACAATGATTATTACTTTACCTGCCGAATTATTGATTAATTATTATTAATATTATTATTATTATTATTATTATATTATAATATATTATTATTATTATTATCAACATTAATCTATTACTATGATCAATTCATAGATCTATTGTAATATTTACAACAAACGAGGGAGAAGAGTTCACGCGCGTTATTATCTACACACGGGTTTACAGATTGGCCCGCGTACAAAAACACACCGAACCACATTACATGACTATTGCCAGTGTTGTATCATAGTAAAACTCTAAGTGTAAGTTCCTTCTGTCAACCACTCCCTTCGTTCGGCCACCCACCTTCCCTGACTCACACCTTTTTCTTCACCACCTATTTAAAATGACTTAGTAATAACGATGGGAATGCGTGAGCATGTGTGGTTCAAAAGGTCCGTCGCGTCGGATATTTTGGAAGTGCATACTTTGTATAATATAGCTATATCATGTACAATTAAGTCAACTGACGATTGAAACAGAAACGTAATTCGGAAGGAAGGGAAGATTAAAATCTAATATTACACATGTACACATATACACGCGTATACCCGGAAGCTTAAAGCGATGTAAAAAAGAGAAGAAAATAGCCGGACGCGAGGGCGATTTGGGGCTTTTAAGCTCACGAGCTAATTATCAAGACACCACCGATACTCTTTTAACTACCTACACCGAGAAATGTATACATATACACGTACGCGCCGGCATATGTACACGTCTTCGCTCAAGACGTACGTTCACTCGAAGTACACCGATGCGTTACGAATTCTCGTTTCAGCGGCACGCGCTTTGATCGTGTTCCTTGTTAAGTCACTCTCGCGGGATTAACGAAGCGAAGGGGAAAAGTAAGAAAAAATGGAGGGAAAAAGAAAAGAAAGAGAGAGGGAGAGAGAATTGTAAATTCAAGTGTATAAAAAGTAATTACAATTGTGTGATTAATTTTTCGTGTGAAAATGACATTTCGCTATACGTTAATGTCTGTTTTATCAATGTAGATTAACTTCAATTTTGATTTAACTTATATATTTTTTAGCCTTTTTTAATTTCAATAATTAAAAAAGGATGGATGTAGAGTAAGTTAAATTAAGATTAACGTTAATTCTAAATGGTTCAACGTTTTTACCCTGCTTTGCTGGTTTAATTGAGTCACTGACAGTTTTCAGCTCTAAAAAAGATCTGACAAAATTCTACATTCTTTCAACATCTAAAGAATACGATTTTACAATGATATGACCTTTCCACTTTTTTGTACGTGTCCGAATTTGATCGTGTTCTGGCAGAATAATTGAATATTTATTTGGGTCTTTAAAGCCCCGATTGGATCACGGAGAATTAATTTACATTAGTGTAAATGTACATAAATATGCAAATCTATTTGTGTATAGTGTAGTGTTATTTTTATACAGAAAACTAATCACTCATATATATTGTAGTTAGTTTTTACATACTTGTATTTGCGACGAGAAAGAGAGAGAGAGAGAGAGAGAGAGAGAGCCAACTTGGCGGAACTCGATCAAGATCAGCGGTCGACCTTGATCGAGTACACCGATTCTTCTCGAGCGGATTGTTAGATCCGAGGTCCTCCGAAGTTTCTGATGCGGTCGACACCGTCGACGTTTGTCATCCATCCGTTCATCTGCATTTCTGGCGAACGTCGACATCGCGGGTTTGCGACGCGCGTTTCGCGGACTTCGTTTTTGCGCTCATCTGGCTGAGCAATGCGAGAAGTTTTGATTAAGCAATAAAGATAAGAAAAAGAGAAAGAAAGAAAAGTAAACCTGATATCGAGACACATTCCTTCTTATAGATTAGCGTTTTGTAAAGGAAAAACGCGCGTCGCTTTACTTCGGATGACGACTTTGTTTCTCCGCCTGTTCCGAAAAGGGAGAGCCCAGTGTTTTTCCCCTTTCCTTCTTTTTTCATGAATCAAATTTACTTTTTTATTTTACTGGCTGCTTGAAGGCTTCGGAAGATCTTAGCGGGATCGTGTACGCGTTTTTTTCTTTCCTTCTCGTCTATCTTCCTTTTTTTGATTTTTTTTTTTTTTTTTTTTTTGTTTATTTTAAGTCGAACAATCGTGAGAAACGAGCGAAAATTTCTAGGAAGAATGACGGGAATCGAGTGTAGATGTTTAAATAAACGACTTTACTAGAGAAAAAGGCAATTGTGTAAACGATGAAATCCAAAAAGTATTTGGTTTAGTATGGCTGTGTTTTTAGGACAGTGTTGTAAATCTGAAAGTGGCGTATACACCCTCGCAGTAGCGGCACACTTGACAGAGTACAGACATACGAACGCCGCGCGTGCCAACTCTCGCGTCCGATTAATTGTCCGAGAGACAAAAAGGAGAATTTTGTATGTAACGAACGTCCAGCAATCGGGAGAAAGGGAAAGAAAAAGAGAGAGAGAAAAACGAAACGCGAATGAGTAGAGTTTTTCCCTTTGGAGATGACGTTCGCATCCATCGAAAATAGAATCCTTTGGCAAAACGATTTAGCGACCAACGATACTTGAATCTAGCCGACATTGTTCTCTCTTTCTTTTCTCGGCTGATTACATTAATGTCTGAGACATAGGCGAAAAGACAAAAAGAGAAGAACGAGAGGAAGAGAACGATACCACAGAAAGAGATTCATTGGTACACAAGGCATTCGTAATGAATTTTACTATTGTAAGCGAGAGAAGGAGAGAGTGCAAGAGAGAAAGTGAGCGAACGAGCGGACGAGAAAAAAAGGGGTGAATGCTACATGCAACACTAAATATATATATATATATATAT